GATTTACTCAAAGTCAACCTATTTGAATGTTAATTTTATTTTTAAAAACAACTTTCTGAAAACATCTACAATAATGTTTATCTGAGTGTCTGGGTACTACGGTCTACCTAAGCTGACATATAAAATTAACCATCATAGGCTCCCCATTATTCCATACCAGTTCTCTAACTCAAATTCAGTTTTTAGGCATTGAGGGACATTTTAGCTGTTTTCTTTTGATGTCTGTGAAAATCACTTTTTCTCTACTTCTCTGTCAAATATGACAGTTTGTATGTTTCTTCTCTTTTCGATGAGTCTTTTCACTTTTTAAAGTTAGGTTATGTGCTCCCTTGTGACTTCAACTCTCTGAAGGGCTCAAAGAAACTTATGATTTTGTGGACTTATTCATTTTTCTTACTGTTAGAACAGCAGTAATGTTTCCTTAAAGTTTTTTGCATCCTAAATAGAAGAAGTCCTATTAATGTGGCATTAGTTTTGTTTTATTTTTATCATGGATATGATCTTGATAATTTAAAAATCATGAAGGGCAGAAATTATATTTGCAGACACCTCCCAAAAGTCCCACCTATGACTCCATGGGGCTTTAGGGATACATCTAGGCATAAAGCATGACAATTTCAATTAAGACAATTTTTTAGCTTTTATCAGAAGATAGTGCAGCCTGTGATGATTTCAAAGTTCTAGGAGGTATTACTCCTACATGGAGTGCAGGGTTGCAGGTCCAACACTTCAATTCTAGCTTAAGAGTACCCAGAGGCAGGCAAGGCTGTTTCCCACTCAGAAGTGGTGGTGTTTCTCCATTGAACACATCCCATCACCAGTAGAATGGCACCAAATTGTTACCACCATCAGAGGAACCTTATCACAGGGCGGGGCTTACAGATTTGCAGGTCTACTGCTTCCTATGCAGTTCCATTCCTGGAGGTAAGGAAAGAACCCAAAGACTGGACTGGATTGAGAAGAATTTAGCCTTCGGAAGTGCATTTCATTTAGGAAATGGGGGTAAACACAGCCAAGGAAAAAGCCAAGGCCTGCATCCAAAAAGTAACATCCTAAGACAGGGCTGAATAGAAGGTGCCAGGCTTTAACCAGGAAACCAAGTCTGACTCCCAAGAGTGAGGGAATGGAGAGCTAACTGGATGGTTGGAGGCTAGAGCAAACAGAAGGACTCAGAGGAAAGAGGGTCCATTGCATGCTAGGCATTGGGAAATGACCCAACCTGCTTGATACTAAAATGCACATTTAGTTCTGGAAATAGAAGGTTGGGGATTGATTGCGCACAGGAGCACCTAAAACAAAGTGTAGCCTTACACTAGCTACTGTGCCCTACGGTGCTCCCCCGCAACTCTACAGAGACTAAAAGCTTTTAGGAACCCTTACAGGGTTAAAAAGAATGCATCAAACAAATGGAAGTTCACAAGAACACTTCTAACTTCAGAAAAAATAAGATTAATCAGTGCAAGTAGGAACTTTTAAAGAAGAGAATCAGAACTTCTTCTCTCACAAACAAAGCTTGAACCTCTTAGCAATCAGGACTCTGATTGCAAGATCTCACTCAAGTACTTGGAGAGTCTTTTATTGCCAAGAACAGCGGTACTTCACATAGAAGAATTACTCAGAATTCAGCTCTGGTCTAAATCAGCCCAGACAAAAGCTACAGACACTTTTCAGGCAGAAGTCGGTATCAGGCTTTTTTTTCTTAGAGTGAAAATGTGATCTTTAAAGTACAGAATGAATTCACAGTCACTAAAGAAAATTTGTGAAATGTGTAAAAGGTATAAAGAATACAACAAATTCCATATTCTATAATCCAAAGATGGTTTGCATTTAAATTTTTTTTCAGTTTTTTTTCTGTGGATACCTATATTTTTCTCCATGCAAGTCAGGATCTATTAAGCAAAAAATTGTTCCATGCTCTTTTCATTTACTATATCAGGAAGAAATCTCCATTGCCTTAATTGTTGCTTGAAATATACTTTTTAATGGTTCTATAAGATTACATTTTTGCAGATATACCATCATATATTTTGATCCTTTTTATTGATGATCAATTAGATTGTTTCAATTTTCATCGTTACAGATAAGATTCTATTAAACATCTCTGGATGTAATTTCTGAACATTGCTCTGATTATTTATTAGGAGAAATTTGTAGAATATTAAGATTTAAGAAGTTCTCAATTCTCACCCTTAAATTATTCTTCAAAAATGATCATGTCTTAGGGGCTGGGAGTTTAGCTCAGCGGCATAAGCGCCTGCCTTGAAAGCAGGCAGTCGTGAGTTCAATCCCCAGTACCGGTAAAAAGGAAAAAGACAAAAAAAAAAAAAAAAAGATCACGTCTTTTATAGTCACACTAATAGTGTATAAGCATGCTTGTTTCATAAATCATTGGCTAACACTGAACATTATCATCAAAATAAGAGAACAAATACTCTATTTGTTAGTTGAAAATTGGGATATAGTTATTTTATCTTATATTTCTTTATTAGCTAGGCATTTCTTCATGTATTTCTGAGTATTTTTACTCTATAGACTATTATTTTGTGCCATATTCATTTGTGTCATTTGCCTACTTTTTATTTTTATTCATTTATGACATAGTAGAATTCAAAATAAATGATGACATTAAAAGCTTTTTAGTTTATAGCTTTAAGATTTCCAAATGTAGGGCTGGGGATTTTGCTCAGCAGCATAAGCGCCTGCCTTGAGTTCAATCCCCGATACCGATTTAAAAAAAAAAAAAGATTTTCAAATGTCTCACTGAGACACAATGTGATGGAAATAGATGAATCTGCTGAAGCAGAATCTATCAAAATATGGCTCTTAGATCCTCCGGTACCAGAATTAAGAGATAGGGAGAAGAACACATTTAAATTTCTCTAACCTCGCTGGGATTTAGCTCAGTGGTTCAAGTGCCTGCCTGGCAAAGCACAGGTTGTGAGTTCAATCCTCACTATTAAAAAAAAGTTAAGGCTAAATTTCTCTAACCCAGCCTCCAAGTGAGGAATCCACAATTCCATTTCTCTATATGCTGCATATGCAGCCAAGATTTGACAACCACAATAACTGTTAAAGTCAAGAAACTTGGTATTCCCATATTTTTTGAAATAAAAGAGAAACAGCCATACAAAGAATTATGCCAAAACACAGAAGAAAGCCTTGAAAATGCTGTTGAATCCTATGCTTTGTTTTTCTGGCTTCTTGATCATTGTGCTTTTACTTGATTAATACATTATCACCTATCTATTCAGTTCTCCAAGAAAAATTATAGCCACATCCTCTATACCTTCCTATTTCTTACTCTTTCCCCTTTTCTCTCTGCATGTATAGAACTGTAAATTTACCTACATATGTTGTGTTTGTTTTGTTTTGTTTTGTTTTTGAAACAGGGTCTTGCTATGTAGTTCAGGCTGGCCTTGAAGTCACTATGTAGCTTAGGCTGAGCTGTAACTCACAGCAAACCAGCAAACCTTCTGCCTTAGCCTCCCGAGTGCTGGGACTACAGGTGTATATACATATGTCTTTAAGTCTGTCTTTGCTTCTTTCTCACTACCTTCTTTATCTTTCTACTTCTGTCTTTTCTACCAGAATCTGTATAGTCATTCCATCCCTAAATTAGGTAAGGTAAGGCAGTAGGTAAGCATGCATGCTAAGTAGGTAAGTGTCTAGAAGCTTCCACTTGCTATGCAAAAGCTCCAGATAAATGTCTTCTCTATGACCCACCTTCCAATATTTTCACAGCCTCAAACACTTACTCTAGTGGAAAAGTGAGAAACTGGACATTTTAGAGCGATAGATTAAAGCACTGGCAAACACTAAGGAAGTTAAGTAAAATTTGCTAAGTATGAAAGAATAAATGAAGTGCAAAAGGCAGCTTTGGCTGTAGTTCAAGATCCTGGAGGTCAAGAACTCTGAGTGACAATGTGACCCAAAGTATGGCCCTAAGAGTAGATTGTTGAATTATCTGAGAGGGTGTGTTTATGTGAGACCTAGTTGCTGAATGGCTCATCTGCAAACTTCAACTACGATATACGCTATTATTCACAGAGCTACCGTGTATGAACACCTCAGGGTGACATTTCTCCATTCTTGGAAAAACAACTTAGAGCAAAGGACAAAGTGTTACTGTGTTGTTGCTTCCATGTAAAAGGAAATAATAATTTTGATGGATTTGGTGGGACATTTATGAACCAAGTCAAACTGTGTGTGTAATTGTTTTGTAAAGGTGCTAGGACTTAATTTTCAGATCCGGAATGAGAACAGGTGGTGGCTGATGGCAGGAGTCACAATAGTTTCCATGACGACGGGATTGAGTTTTAGTCATCTTCCCATCCTCCACAAAACCTACTGCAGCTTTTCTGCTAAGGTACTTATTAAATACTTGTTAAATGAATGATGAACCACTGAATGCAATGTGTGCTTTGCAATTAAGGCTGCCGTTCTTTAGCTAGACTAAAAGCTTTTAAAGCAACAATAATTACTGTATTTACACATGATGTTTTGCATAATTTGCATAATGACTTAACCTGAAAATAATAAACTATGTACTCATTCTTGCCAAACAAACTTGGCCCATTTCTTATCCTCTATTGTGGAAGAAGTAGCCCAGGTGTTTGATTAGAATAGTCTTAACAGAAGGAAATCAGTTGGGGTGTTGGGGGCAGTGACCTGTACTACATACGTGTGCTTCCAAATCATCTAAAACTCCCACTTTCACCCTCACTCTTGCCCTTCCCCCCATCCTGGGGTCTACGCAGGCGCTATCTCCCCACCCCGCCCCCAGCGCCACTCTTTGCCTCTAAAGGTTAGAGCCCATCGCTGGCCCGCAGCACAAAAGGCCACTCTAGCCGGCGTCCCGCGTTGCCCATGGCAACCATTGATCTGCGTCCCGCTCGCCAGCGCTTTTCGCGCCGAGAGTAAACGACGCTTCTATTGGCTGGCCGGGAAAAGATAAGCCAATCAAAGAAGAGATTATAGGGTGGTGTTTGAGGAAGGGTGTTGGGGGTTAGAAAGCTGGGCTTAGAGGCAATACGTGAGGCTAGAACCCCGAGCGTGGTCGGTTGGAGCAAATATGTCTGTCCGGAGACACATTGGGAATCCTGAGGTGAGGGCCAGGTCCGGACCCGAGAGCCGGAGGGGGCGGGCGCACCGGAAAAGGCGCCACGTGGGCAGGGACGGACAGCCAGCGACTTCCGCCGCCTGGAAGGCGGGAAGTGGCCGACGTGGGGAGGGGTCGGATGCTGGGCCAAGGGCGGGGCGGGCCTGGGGCTCGGTGCCTCGTTCAGCAATTCCGGTGACGGGATTTTCTCCGTAGTTACAGACTAGATGACAGCACCGTATTTGCCTCTGCGAAGAGCGACGTACATAAAGACACGGTCCCTACTTTCGAGAGACTTTACGTCTAGGAGTGACAGTTAAAGACAGTGAAAAATACAAAGGAAGCTGGGAACACTAAAGAAAGGCAGGCAGGATAGCCCACAGTGCTATGGGGAGTACAAGAATTACAGGAACAAGTTGACCAAGTCTCTGGAAGAGGAGCAAAATAAGACAGTAGTTTCCACATCATTTCTGACCCTTAGTGCCTTGGCCGCATTTGTGGCAATTTAATGTCAACACATATTGGACTTATGCCATACTGTAGGTGGTAGACACAAAGAATAAAACGAGGCCTCAGTCCTTCAAGTTCAGTCTAGTGATGGAGACTTGTAAATGGGATTATTCAAAACACTGTGGTTGGAGAGCCCGATCTTGTGTGAGCAAAAAAAGACCCTACTAAAGGAATGAGAGTTCTCTGGAGATGGCGAGACTGGAGACATGCCAAAAGGCCACTGGTTAATTATATGAAGAAACACCTTAGGTAGAGAAAACAGCAGGAGCGGAGATAAGGGCGCATAGATTCTCAGAGTTCATGATAGGAGACTGCACAGAGGCAGGAGTAAAATTGGGAGGGTCCTCTGTGCTTTAATCCAACCAGATTTAGGTTTTTCATCTCTTGGTGAATACCTAGTGCCTTGTTCAGAAAAATGCAAAGCCAAAGCTAGCCTGCCCAGTGCCATCACCAGATAGTAATAAATTCCACTTACATGTGGAGTCTAAAAAAAGTCCAACTCAGAATGGCAGTCACCAAAAGCTGGGAATAGGAGAGGGAGGGAATGAGGAAATGTTCCTCAAAGGGCACAAAATTTAAGGTAGGAGGAATTATGTTTTGGGGACCTATAGTACAATAAGATCACTGCAATTAATATATGTTTAATATATTTCAAAACAGAGTAAATTTCAAATGTTTTACCACATAGGTGGTGGACATGTTAATTAGCTTGGTTTAATCATTTTACATAGTGTGTTTATGATATTATGTCCTATAAATAGAGTATGTAAAGTTGTTTGTCAACTAAAAATAATAACAAATATCTTATCATGGATATGTAGGAGATAGGTGTGGCTGGTACCATTTTTCCACATATTTATCTTACCTGCTGGTCAGAATTCAAGAAGCTTTTGCAGGGTTTTAGTAAGGGAATGATTTACATTTTAGGCAGTTGACTGTAATCACATTGTAGAGGCCAGAACTAGAGACAGAGAAGGTTGGTTAGGTAGTTATTGTAATACAGATCTAACCTGAGGCCATGAAATTAAGGACAGAACTGAGGAGAAATATATAAGAGGTAAAATTATAAAGACTCCATGATTTTTGAGAGATAAGAGTGAGATGGATGACGTAAGTTCCCAGTTTGAATTTGCCAATCACTGCTCATCAATGAGATCAAAACTATGGGAGGAAAAGAAATAGTTTTAGGTATGTAAGGAGAGGATCAGGGTTACTCTGTATGGTACATGTGCCCTAGAAGCCCAACTTACTGTCACGGAGTACAACTTCTAGTAATTCTTGAGAAAGGGAACATAAATATTTTTTACTTAATGTCTAAAATATTAGGGCAATTTAAAATGCTATTCTAGTTTCACATTTATTTTTGGCCTGAGAGTTTGATTGAGTATAAATTTCTTGGTTAGAAATCAACATTTTGAGAATATTGCGTTGTGGTTTTCTAGCAGCCAGTGTTACTGTGGACAAATCCAAAGCCATTCTAATACTCGGTGACTTCATCCTCCTTTCAAAAAGATATTTCTTGCTGGTGTCTATTTTCACTTATTTGGTAGCACTAGACATTTGTGTCTTTCTAGTCTGTGAAATTTTCCTAAATTATTTTGTTGTTGATTTTTCCCCCATACTTTCTCCATCCTCTTTTTAAATTCATTATTCTAATGTTGGACTTGTATGGCTGGTTCTTTATTTTTTTTTTTTTCACTTTTATCTCCTGTTTTCTTTCTTTCTCTGTTTGTTTTCCTTGGAAGACTTAATTTTACTTCTAATTTTTCTACTTTAATTTCTGTCATGTATTTAAGAACTCTGTTTTTTGATCCAATATCTTTTTTTAAAAAAAACACTATTTTGAAACAAATAATAGATTTGTAGGAAGTTGCAAATGAACAAAGAGGTCTGGTGTATCCTTCACCTAGTTTGCCCCAATGATTATATTTTATACAAGTATGGTACAATGTCAAAACTTGAAATTTGAAGTTTGTACAATATTTATATAGTGCTGTTTCATCATGTTTGTAGATTTAAAATCAGGGCTTACACAAATACAGATTTGCAATCAAAATAAAGAACTCTTCATCACAAATACCTCCTTGCTAACCTTCATAGTCATATAAGTTTCTTCCCTCTCACCACCAGAACTCTTGAAAACCACAAGTGTGTTCTTCGTCTCTACAGTTTTTAAATTTTGAGAATATTACATAAATGGAATCACATGGCATGTGGCCTTTTGAAATCAACTTTTTCCCACTCTTGATAGTATCTTTCAGATACATCCATGTAGCAATAGTTCATTCCTTATTATTGCTGGTTAGTACTCTATAGTGTGGATGTATAACCATTTGTTTACTCATTCAACTAGCATAGGACATTGTATTTTCAGTTTTGGTGTATGACAAAAATACAAACATTTGGATATAATTCTTTGTATGGAGGTTAATTTTTATTTCGTTAGAATAGATACCCAAGAGTGTGTTTGCTGGGTTGTATGGTTTTATTGGAAACTGGCAGACTACTTTCCAGAGCACCTATACTGTTTGACATTGCTACCAACAGTGTATGAGAAATCCAGATTTTAAGATTTGGCTGTTACCAATTGTACTGCTATAAACATAGGAGCACATACATTGCTGTGGTATGCTGTTTTTTATTCTTTCCAGGAATATAACCTGAAGGGAAATAGCTGGATAAAATAGGACCACTAATTGTAGTTTTTTAGGGGATTTTTCCCTCTTTGTACCAGTAATTGAACCCAGGACTTTGTGCTTTCCAGGCAGGTGTTCTACTTAACATGTTTGACCCCTTTGTCAAAGATGAGGTAGCTGAGTATGTTTGTAGTTTTATCCACTTTTCTAATCTGTCCCACTGATCCTCAGGTCTGGTTTTTTGTCAGTACCATGCTGATTTTTATCACAGTAGCTTTGTGATATAATTTCACGTCAGGGATTGTGAAGTCCCCTGGCTTGTCTTTGTTCCCAGAATTGCTTGCTATTGTAGGTCTCTTCTGGTTCCAGATGAATTTTAGGAATATTTTCTCTAATTCTGTGAGGTATGCTAGTGGTATTTTGGTTGGGATTGCATTAAATCTATAGCAATTTTGGGAGTATGGCCGTTTTTACTATTATTGGTTCTTCCTACCCATGAGCAAGGGATATTTTCTAATATCTTCTTCACAGTGTTTTCTAATATCTTCTTCAGTCGTCTTTTTTACAGTACTATAATTTTCAGTGTATAAATCTTTTACATCCTTTATTAGATTGATTCCTAAGTATATCATCTTTCTGAATGCTGTTGTGAAGGGTGTGGTTTCCCTAATTTCTCTCTCAGTGAGTTTGTTGTTTGTGTACAGAAATGCTATTGACTTTTGACTATTAACTTTGTGTTCAGCTATGCTACTGAATTTGGCTATTAAATCTAGAAGTTTTGATAAAGAATATATAGCGTATCATGTCATCTGCAAATAATGATAATTTAACTTCTTTTCCTTATTCCTTTTATTGTTTTTTTTTTCTTGTCTAACTGCTCTGTGTCTTAATTACTTTTCTCTCATTACTGAGACAAAATACCCAACACCTATAAGTTAAAGGAGGGAAGGTTTATTTGGCTGACAATTTGTAGAGATTTCAGTCCATAATCAGCTGACTCCAAGGCAGGATGGCATGGCAGAAGGGCAGCAGTTCCTGGTAGTAGAAGATAGCAAAAGTAACAATAAAAGAGAGGACCAAGCCTCTTTTCCTCCCTAATAGTGAATGCAAGCTACCCACCCTAGGACATGTGTAGCACTCACACTCCATATCCCATCACTAGATAATGAACCGGTCACAAACTAGATTCAGCTGCCTCAGAAAAGTACTCCCCCCCCCCACACACACACACACTGCTGCCTTGACCACATGAGGCTTTGGGGAGACATCTAGACAGAAACCATAACACTCTGGCTGATGTTTCCAGAACTGTATTAAATAGAAGTGGTAATAGTGGACATCCTTGTCTTGGTCCTGACTTTAGAGTGAAAGCTTTCAGTTTTTGACCATTTAGTATGTTGTTAGTTGTAGGTTTATAATAGCTAAATCTTGGAAACAGGCCCATCAATCAAGGAGTGGATTAAAACAGTTGTGGTCTTTTTATATTAATGGCATATTACTCAGCCATAAAGAAGTATAAACTTGAGACATAGGTAAATGGATGCCTTGAGACCACACTCATAAGTGAAATAAATTAGACTCACATGTGTAAACATCATATTGCTTCCCTCATATGAGAAACTGAAAGTAAATAAGGTCCAAAATGTACAATAGTATTGTGAAATGGAAAGAAATTGTTCAAAAGGAAAGAATAACTAAGGTGGGGGAAAGGGGAAAGGAAGGAAGGGAAAAGGGAAAAAATACAAAATAGTTATACTACTAGTTTCTCTTAGTTCATTGAAAAGAAAGATTTGTGATAATATCATTTGGAGAATTTTTTATACCCATATTTTGTGCTCAGAGTGACTACTTTGACAATAA